GCTCAGCGCGTAGCAAGCACATCGACGTGCGGTACCACTTCATTCGTGGATTGTTTAGGTCGGGTGACATCTCGATCAAGTTTGTGTCGACGTCCGAGCAACATGCAGACATGCTCACCAAGGCTCTTAGCAAGAGCAACCTGCAGTACCACCGGAAAAAGCTGATGAATTTGCCGGAGCTTCTGTAGGATTTTCTAGCGCTTGGGGAAGGTCATGTATACCATGCGGGGAAAGATGCATTACTGTCGCGGGCTGTGTCCCAATGGCAGGAGTAGGAGGCTTGCCTCGCATTCTTGTCTTCGCCTTGGCCTTCCTGATAAGTGCGGCCGTTGTGATCCGCCGTGATAGCAATGGTTTGTGTTGGATGGGATTTATTTTCGAGGGGTTTTGCCCGGGCGCCGGGTTTCCCCTCGACCACCGTATTGGCATTTTATTGATGTATCCGGGGTGTTTTTGCCCCACTGATGGTTAGTCACTTGCGTGAAGAACCAGGGAGGGTGTTCGTGGGTCTACGGACATGGTTTGGATATGTTAGCCGTACGTACAAGTGTGACGCAGATGGTGTAGAACCTTTTAGGTCGGGGTACGGTGATGATGCACCGGGGCCCCCTTTTGTTGTGTGCAGCAGCCCTGCTGCCACTCCTCCTCTCTGAGCACGACAGCGCCCTGGGTACGGGCGTTGCCTCACCGTCTGAAGTTAATACACTACACAAACAATACCCGATAAGTACGCGGAGTACGGCCGACAAACAGGGGTGGAGGCGGAAGCAGCTCGGAAATAAATATGTTTGGTGTTCCGAGTCGGCTCAACCATCTGTGTGACCACGGGTTGGAGTAAACGGCACTAGTGCTGTGAGCGCTGATTTGAAGTGAAGACAAAAAAACAAAAAAACATTTGTCTGCCGCCGCCGGCAAAGGGGCTCCGTCGTTTTTTTCTTGGAAATTTCCGCGTGCTCAAGACCGAAAAAATCACACTCGAGTCTTCGCAAGCAGTTTTGAAACACAATTCCGGTCTTGGTTTTGGACTTGCTTCCGACTTCAAAGACCAAGACCTGAGACCAGTCCGCAAACACCCTAATATTATCGATGGCGGAGATTGAGAAGTGCAACCATTTGATCAGACCAATGCTTCACAAAGTACCGTCGCCTATCTTGGATTGACACTCGGGAGGAAGGAGTTCGCCACACACAGCTTGAATCAGTGTTTTCACTCCTTTCTCTTCGCTCGACATCAAGTCTTGTGGGAGCGCTGCACATGTCTACTGCAGCTCTGGCGTATTTGGCGCCAATAAGACGCCGACCGGGACACCGGTAATGATCATGTGATGGGAACGATTTATTTTCCTCGTGTCGTCACCGTTCCCTGTTTAGGTCCGGTCTTCATTCCCAGAGGCGTTCTTCGCTTTCCGAGTGCGAAGAGCACACACACACACCGGCGGCGCCAAGAGGGCTGTTCAGCAGCATCGAATATCGTGAATTGGGCGACGTGCTCCTTGCAAACGAGAGACCCACCTCGTAGGACGCAAAGCCTCCCTGCAGGAGGAGCACCAGCACCAAGCAGAAAAACCTCCAGGTGAAATCGACCGCATGGGAGGTCACGTCGGGGTCCACCGCATTATCCAAAGTTTCGCCTTCCATCCTTCCTTGCTTGCCTTTCTTTGTGTGTCCAACTGGTGGCACAAGAAGAAGTACAGCCTCGTCGTCGTCGCCGCCTCCTCCGACGTTGGTCGTTGCCTCTTTCACTGACCCTGTATCTCTTTGCGTGCGCGCACGCAGGAAAAGGCACGAGAGCAAAGAAAAGTGGTCGTCGTTTGTGAATCTGGTTGCGCGTGGCGAAAAAAAAATAGTTGTTTCTCGTTTCGAAAGTTCCCGAAACAGCAAGAAGCGCTCCCGCCGGCTGCGGAGAGACAGGAGAGACTTGAGCCCGAAGAACTTTATTTGGAAGTTTCGAATCGCCCAAAGAACCATTATTTTCCTCCTTCTGAGGAAAAGGAGGAAAGAGGGCGTGAGCACGTGACCGGTCTCCACACAGCTATGTAGATGTATGAATATCGGAACAACCAACCTGCTGTACACCCGCGCCCAATCATTTATACCCCACAACCCAGCAACACCTAGCCAATGCACCATCAACCCGGCCTGCGGTCTACACCAGGAGGAGTGGCCCATTACATAACAACTCTTTGATCGTTGTTGGTAAGCCCCCCCTCATACTGAAGCGGGCGTGTTCTCGAATCACATGGTTGAGCTGTTTCGGCCTCACGGACGCGGAAACAATTATATGCCGATCTGCGCAACGGCGTACATGCGTAGCCGCCTCTGCCCAAAACGCTTCGCTGTGCATCATATGACATCTGTGCACAAAATGTAGGATTGCCAGGGGCCAGATGTCACGCGGTGGTCTGATGTTGAACCGTTTGCCTGCGTCGCGTGTAGCATTCTCTGCGTGTACAGTAGTCTATATATATACCGTCGACATAGACGCAGCCTTTAGACTGCACACAACTCTGTACACCAGGGAACCAAGGTTTGATTCGCGAAAAGTCTCCCCGTGGCCAAAATGCACTGCCCTGCTGTAGCAACACCCATCAGCGGCCTCGTCAGGGTGTCTCCGTGTCACCGCCGCATGAACAATGCAGGCCGATCGCGACCTGGTCGTGTGACTGTTGGCATCAGTGCCGGGCTTCATGGGTTGCTCTGGCAGCCGCCAGCAGCCCGCATCCCCCACCCGAAGGAATAGATATGACGAGTTCGGGGCTCTTATTACCGATCCGCTGAAGGGTCCTACCAAGGCCGACATCAGTTTCATTGAAACCTGCACGCCGAGGGCGCTCGAGCCCAAAGACAAGGATGCGACCAAATTGCCTCTCTTGGTGCTGGCGAAAGACCACGACGAATGGTTCAGGTGCGCGTTCTTCCTTGTTGTGCACTCACTGTGTACACACGTCCAAGTGGTCTTTGCGTGTGAGAGAGAAAATAATATAGCGAGAGCGACCGAGAGAGGGAGAGATAAAGAGGAAGAGAGAGACAGACAGACAGAGACAGAGAGAAGGGGAGAGAGACGCAGGCAGACAGGCAGTAGAGACAGAGACAAAAGACACAAACGGAGACAGAGACAGAGCGAGAGAGCACTTTCTTGCGTCATACATATACTCTAGGAGTGAAGGTGTAACCGTTCTTGGTTCTTGGACAGTTTAGGTGGGGTGCCGGACGGGAGCCCTGAAATTTTCTGGTCGGTACTGACAAGGGCACGCACAACAGAAAATCCCAGGAAACGCTGAATAATCTACATACGAAGTATTGTGTTTTATTGCATACCGGTACTTCGTACATATTATATGCAGTACGCAAATACTAGTAAGCCGCAGTCTATACCTCCGAATTGCATAGACCAGGGTTCACTGTAGAGCGTACATGCTTGAACATTTTCATGGATGGATGTACCCATCCTCCCTGAAAAGGAAGGTACGTCTCTTGACGTCGAACGCCGCCACGGACCCCGGGGATGATGATTTTATCTTTCCCTTGTTTGTGTCGGTGAAGAAAGTTGCCGTACAAGGGGCTATCAAGCAACATCCGATCCACGCACGTCTATTCACGACAGGTGCTTGAGCAAACGGTGCAACCCAGGGGTGACGTGGAAACAGGACGGAAACACAACGTCGCTAGGGGTTGAGCTCATGGGCCACAGGTTGTACGACGATTGGTGCGAGGCAATGGCGCGTTGGGATGCGAGACACGCCACGACCAACAGCACCGGCGTGCGACCACTGGATTCGTCGCAGAGAAACGACTGGTGGTCGATCGGCGACTACGGCGGCGTGTCTGTCGCTCTTGGGTTATCTGTTATCGCTACAGCCTCACTCGGGTGTCCACTTGTCTATGTTGGCCCTGTTATTTGGACGGTGAGACTTGTACTAAGGGGTTCTTAAAAGACTCCGCACTGTCTCGCAGCTGCTGTTTTTCTGTGCCCACACATCCATACACATGCATAGGAAGACCTACATGTCGATTTTCGATCCTGAGATAATTATTATAGATACGTTTTTTCTTTGATGCCGTTTCGAACTCTCAAGCGAAGAGTGTTGAAAGTGTTACGATGCGGATCGTGTTGGAATGAAAAATATCAGACAATGCCGGGCAGTGCTGGAGGCGCCGAGAGTAATGTGTTAGTATGAAGTTTGCCAAAGGTACTTTTCGCACTCGACCAGCTGCTCACCCCGTACTTCTCTTCCTCCAGCAGTGTGATACGTGCTCCATGGTTGCCTCTGCCGAGTCCGCATGATTTCAGCTTCATACCAACGGCCTGGTCACGTCGGCCAATGAATGGGGGCATAACTGACAGAGGTCGTTTTTCGTGCCTATCGCACGAAACGAATCTCATGCTCTACTACTGTACACCATTCCACATGATGTTGGTCGACAGGTCATCAAAGCGTGGCGGGAAAGTTTCAAGCGATGTCGACCATCACATAAGCTGACGAAGATCTTCTCCACCCATGAGACTATCGTCGGGTCCGTTCTCAAGGAGCTCGACACACGCATCAAGGTTTGATGCTTGCCAAGGAGAAAATAATGCGACATCCAGCACTCAGGAGCGAACGGTAGCAGCCTGAGCGGAGTCCTGTAAAAGAAAATCTACTCTAGTTTAAAATGGCTTGTGAGGGCCCGACGTAGGTCACCGGGGCGACTAAATGTTCTTGGCAGTCAGGGTTTTGGGATGGCATTCACACAATGCACGGGCATGTCGCAGTGGACCGCGTCTCGTGTATGCCAACCGGAAAGGGCTTCTTGTCTTACAACTTCTGAAAAGAAACATCCTCAGTATGGTGAGCATCATCCCTTCACAGATAGTGGGTACTCTTGCGCTCATACATACGTTTGTTGTGCGTTGATTTGTGTCCAGGCCGCAGAAGAGGTGGCCAAGGCCAACCCGGGGCACCGCCCTTCGATAGAAAAGAGCGCCCGACAGAGAAACCGCATGGATGGTCTGAGGATGCTTTTGGAAAACGACACTCGGGTAGGTGCTGCTACAAGGTGTGTCGTGGACCACGGTGTCATCGATGACTACCCCCCACTCCCACCCGAAATACGGGAGAGCTGAGAATCCGCACGAGCGCCCTTCGCTCCTTCAAATGTATCTCACCACGAGTTAAACATAGGCGGGTGCTCAACTAACCAATTCTGCAGAAAATGGAGAGCGTCGCCCGAGGGAGAGCAAACTACGACGCCAAGTGTGAACAGATGACGAACATGCTCAGAACTCTCCTCGACTTTGAAAGGGAGCTTCATGTGAGTGAGTGGGAGCCATCCGACGCATGTGTGTATATACGGTATGTGAAATTGCACGCATGGGACATGGTGTATTACGCACCGACAGGTCTGAATGCGTTATTTTATCCACGGGAAATAAATGTGACCAGATCAGAAGCTCAACCTTTCAGCATCACGAATGTATTGGACTGGCGGGAAAATTGAACATTGTGAGCAAAGAATTCCCCGGTCACGCAACTCACCACGTAGGCCTACCTACTTACTGTTGGTGTGCGTCGGGGGCCTAACCCATGACCAGAAAGAGCTTATGGAAGAGGAGCGATCGAACGACCTGCAGAAGGTGGTGGATGCATTGAAGAGCATTGAGGAGTCCCTGCTCGGCGCCTCATTGACGCGTTCTAGTTCCATGGTGAGTTACTTTGGTATTCACACATGTTCCTACACTGCCGTGTAGATAGTTGGATGATTGAACCATCGCCGTCGTCATGCTCAGCTTGCACCGGCCGCAATGACAATCGCAACCGAGATAGGGGGCTGATGTTGCCTGGAAACCTGAAACACATTGGAAGCAAATCCTTCCTCAGGTCACTTCTGTTGGCTTGAGATCGCCGATTGGCAGCTTTTCGTGGACGGAGTACAGAGGTTCACAGGTTGAAACAAAGACCAAGATGTCATGGTGTGATAATGGTGTCATCCACCACTATGTAGGAGTGAATCCGGAAACTGAACAGAACGACAAAGTGGCCAGGAAAATGAAAGCTAGCTTTGAAGCACGAACAAAGTGAAATACGTGGATGTCCGCGTTATGTTGGGGATGATCAGCCGCGTGGCTCCTAAAACTGCAGTAAGCGTGCCGTCTCACCAGGCCCAGGGAAGGAGATGTGTCCGTGTCCCAAGACAGAACCTTGATCGATAGCAGTGCTTGTGTGCTGAGGGCGTTTCTTCTCTATTTTTCCACAATCGTTCACAGTTTTCTCAGTGGGGGCAAGCGCTACTCCCCTCCAACCATCCGTTGGCCCCTAGTCACAAGATGTAGGAGGATTGCAGTGATTGTGCTCCAGAAGACGTTCCGATAGTCTCCGGTACATTGAAGTAGTGCGCATGGGTGTTCCACGGTACATGTTCTAACGGAGGGATCATAGGACCACGCCAGATTGGTGGGCATGCATTTTACGCAAAGCTTGTGGAATTCTTCAACCGTACACGTGGCGGTCACAACCAGCTGGTCCTTCACGGGGTCACAAGTTGAACGGACAGTAAATAGTGCGGTAGCAGTCAATACGTTGCGTGGACCAGGGGGAAAGCAACAAGTTTCCATTCATTTGATCCACACGGCCCGCTCCGTCCCTATCAACAATTTGTGCTTCCTCAAGTTCCTGGATGATCTGGACGGTAGTGGGGTCCAAGACACCCAGAGGCAACCGTCGGCCGCCTTGTTTGCAGCGTCGACGTCGTACCACAACGGCAGAACGGACAGCAGCACCACCAGTCCTTCGGGTCATTACGCAGAGACCAAGAGACGCACCCATGGCTGGTGAAGGCCAAGTCGGCGATGCGTGTAGAGCCGATGAGGTATGTGTGTAGGCCGACGGGCCTTTCTATCATCTGAAAAGTGAAAGAGGCTGCTGTGAATTACGAAGACCCCGCGATGATCCGCAGTGGCCCGTAGTTTGTCATGAGTAAGCCCAGAGGAACGCTTGATCACACACACGGTGTGCAGTTGTATACAGTATTTCTATTCTTCCGTGGACTTGATTTTTGCCTTAGCCAATGACACGAGTTGTCATGGTTGCGTTCCTTTTCTTGGCGGGAAGTTGGACGTGAAAATCATTTGTCGACGAAATTAGGCGTGCCAACCACTTTGGGATGACCTCTAAACAATTGTTGAAAGCAAGCCGACGAATATCGTCCGCGTTGCTAGTCCCAAGCTTTTTTTTTTTATTTTAGTCGCGAACGGGAAGGGCCTTAATTAACCGATACTACACTACGCAAACACATACATCCTAGCCTCGGGTATCACGAAATGCAACGTCTACATACAGTAGACACAGGAAGACAAACAACTAAAAAGTTCGGCCTGAGGGACTGATACACATGTCCCCAAAAGAATCGAAGACGGCATCCCCGGCATCCGTGGAGCTGCGATCGTGGATAGAACGGGCGCCACTGGGCGATGTAGTCCTTCCTGAAGGGCTGTGTGGCAAGTGCTGCAAGGGGTGTTGATGATTCCGGCCCGAAGGGCTGCTGTCGTCGGCGTGATGACGGTGGCCCGGTTGTCGCCCAGAAGGGCTGTTATGATGTTGTTCCTCGTGTCGCGTGTACAGCGGTGGGGTGGCGACACACAAAGAAGTCTTAAGGTACACCAGCATACACTGCGACGAGCTGTTCCAGTCGGCATCGAACGTGTCTGAAGAAGTTACCGCTCCTCCCGCCAGGCAGTCGTACTTGTGCCATCTTCCTCCTGTATAACTGTTTTTGCGACACCGCCAACCGTGCTCGAACTGTGCAAGACTACTTGAAAAATACTAAAGCACGGTTCCGGCACGGTCCAAACCCTATGGGACGAACCCTGCCAAAAAAATGCACAGTTACTCGCACGGTTCGATCACCCCCTGAAAACTGCCTCTTGCATACTACACGACCAAATCCATGGGGGTACGAAAAGTGTACAGTTCCCTGCACGGTTCCACGCCCCCTGTAAGCTGCACGAAATACGATCCAGGAACCACTCGCGTCTCTTGCCGAGTCTCGTGCGACACCTGCAGCAGGCTAAGCTAAAAAAATGCGAATGGGGAGGGGAGGGGGGGGGGTGGTGGTGACAGCAATGACGGGAAACACACGGCGGGCTCAGTGCAGCCAAATGTCTAGACTTTTGGGGCCGGCACCGCTGTAAAATCAGTTGGGGGAGCTTTAAAAATCGAGAAGTGCTCCGATTTCGATAAAAAAAAATCTGCGGATGCGCATCGGTGAGAGGGAGCCTCGTGCAAAGTTTCATACTCAGATTCGAAGGTGGCGGGGAGCGGTGCAGCCAAATGTCTAGACTTTTGGGGCCGGCACTGCTGTAAAATCAGTTGGGGGAGCTTTAAAAATCGAGAAGTGCTCCGATTTCGATAAAAAAATATCTGCGGATGCGCATCGGCGAGGGGGAGCCTCGTGCAAAGTTTCATACTCAGATTCGAAGGTGGCGGGGAGCGGTGCAGCCAAATGTCTAGACTTTTGGGGCCGGCACTGCTGTAAAATCAGTTGGGGGAGCTTTAAAAATCGAGAAGTGCTCCGATTTCGATAAAAAAATATCTGCGGATGCGCATCGGCGAGGGGGAGCCTCGTGCAAAGTTTCATACTCTGATTCAAAGGTGGCGGGGAGCGGTGCAGCCAAATGTCTAGACTTTTGGGGCCGGTACTGCTGTAAACAGCTGAAAGTCTGCTCTCATCGCTGGATCCAAGCTGCGTGCACCCCAAAACCACCCACATGCATTATTTGGGGTGTAGGGGGTGGGTACGGGAACCCAAGTCTGTATTTGCATGGGGTTGGAGTGTTTTGGCGCCAAAAAAATCAAATTCGAACATTGGGGGGGTGTTATTTTGCGTAGCAGATTACGAAAATACAGTCAGGCAAAAGCGATCAACTCAACATCACAGCGCCGCTCAAAAAATAAAGAGGAGGCGCGCACAAAGCCACATACACATCATAGGAGGCGAAAGCGACCGGTCTCGCGCGCCGCGGGGGCGTTTCATGAGCGCGCGGTCACCAGCTAAGCTCTCAAATGCGCGACGTGGTACGCCCCGCCGCCTGCCGTGGTTGAAACAAAAATGAGAACGTGCCCGAGAGCGGAAAGAGAGACAACACCGCATACCTCGCTTCCTCACAGCTCTCCAGCTACCTCTCAGCTACTGCTGTGTCCTGCTGTCCGATGTCCGCGGCGCGCGTGCGAGAGAGAGAGAGAGAGAGAGAGAGAGAGAGAGGGGAAGGAAGAAAGGTGTGAGAGGAAAGTGCGCTGCAACTGCGCAAAAAAAGGTTCGGGAAAAATGTTACGGTTCGGCAACAAATGCGGCGGAAATCACAAAAACGGCGGTTCCTCGCCGCTACGGGCTCCGTTTGACCTCGGATTTTTTGTACGGGTTGCTGCTGACCCCCGCGCATCGTGCCAGCAGTGTGCCCAGGCTGAACTCGGACACGGGGCATGTGTTCCTCACACCGCATACGTTTGTGCCCTACGGGCGATCACAAGAACAACGACCCGCTGACCAGACGGGGCCGAGAAAAAACCCCGTGATGTCCCGATATGACTCTAGGTAGTGCGCTTCACGAGAGTAAATTAAAACCAACAATTTTGTCTGTGAACACACCTCGAACCCCTACACCCCTCGTGCAAAATCGGTCTCGTACGCGTGCCCCCCCCCTGCATTCTGAACGAATAACTTTAGCGTGGCTTCATGCCCCATCCAAGCTCACTCCCCCGACCTCAACCATGGCTCCTGTTTCTCCCGCACCCAAGCGCATTAAAGTTTCAAGTATCTCGAAGGCGAACAAACAAATCACCACCCTACAAAAACCGAATTTCAACGCAAACGAGGTCAAGCGCGCAACCAAGGAGACCACCAGCTTCAAGTGTCCCGTCTCGCCGAAAAAAATATTTCTCGAGCCCACCGACGGCCAGGTGCGGCAGTTCTACGGCGCCAGAAATTTTAGTGGCACTTCATATGATCGGTTACCTCAAGCCGAGAAGGTCGTGTGGCGGGAGTCACTCCGCGACAACCTGACCCTGATCGGTTTTCACGTCTACTCCCAGCTCTTCCCGAGCCTACTCGAAAATCGAATCAAACTGAACAAGGCGAGCCACCACTACAGAGACATCGACCGCGCGACGCCCGAGGGTAGGAACCAGCTAGAGCAGCGCCGAGAAGCCCTCACAAGACTCCAACGGGTCGGCTCGGCTCATTCTGTGTTTCACGGGCTCCCGTACGGGGTGGACAAATCGAAGAGTATACTACAGTTCATGAACATGGATTTCGACGACGACGACTCGAGGCAGCGGTTCTTCCTGCAGCGAGATTTTGCCGCAATATATGGGAAGCGAGGGGAGACCAACTCTTCGAGCGTGTATGGAACATCTTCCGCTGCAATCGGGCTTATGTGGTTCGCGGTGGTTATTCTTGGTCGCCCCACAGTCGCGTGCTCGAGGAGAGGTGGCTTTGCCCCCCCTGTCACTTGGACGGCGCTATCCGCGGCTGGGAGACAGACTGGAGGGGCGTGTTTCGTGCGATAAACGTACCGCACAGAAACATAGCCTACATAATGTTGGAGCGGGCGTGCCAAGACAAGTACATTGAGGGGTTCCACGTAGGAGACGCGTACGGTCTTTTTAAGGCGACCCAATCGGCCCCGGGTGACGCCGAGAGGATAGCTACACTGTTTCGGACGTACACAGAAAAAACAAAGTACGGGATCGAGTGCGGACCTGTGGTTGGGAGTCTGGACATAATCCGACAGCGACCCGTGGACTCTGTCGGCCGCATGGACGGCTCCGTGTTGGGTTCCATACATTTGACGTATGGAGAGAGAGCAGGCGTCGCGGCGATGGCTGCTTGCAACACACCGCAGGGCGGCCCAACGCTCTTCGACGCTAGTGTCGGCGCGAAACTGACGGAGATCATGGCGCACTTCGACAGCCAGCTTTGGAAAACGAGGAAAAGGCTCAAAATGGCAAACACCGTCAGCAACAACCTGGACCCCGCCGGCCTCAACAAGAAGGTGGATGGCGGGCGTATGTTGGATCCCACGGACCCCAAGGCGGTGGAGATGATGTACGACATGCTCAAAGGCGTCTGTTTCGGCGTTTGGCACCCCCTGAAGAGCCTGATCGGTGAGAAACTCGGGGCTAGCATGGAACACCCCTCCGCGTTTCTTAAAATTTCCAATCAGGAGGCCGAGCTCCTGTACGAGCACGCTAAGGATACGGGTGTGCTATACTCCGACGTAGCCAATCTCTGCGTCTTACTCGCGCTAAGCAACTGTTTTCAGAGGTCCCAGGTCATGCGGGAGGCAACGGTGAACGAGTATGCTCTTGTTCCGGACGGCACCCACTTCAGGCACACTTTCAAGGACCGAACTTGGAAGACGGCTACCGCCTCAGCGTCGAGTGGGGCTCTTCCCGTTAGTCACTTTGAAATGTCAGCAGACCAAAGCATGATGATACATTTTGTAGCCTGTGTGGGCCACCGCTTCTGCGACGTAGACATGCGCGACGGCAACAGGAGGCTGTTTGTCAATTCGAAGGGGGAAGGGTGGACCCCAAACGACACTCGGTCGCGTTTCAAAAAGATTGGGGCGTACTGGCTAGGAATTGAAAACTTCTCTCCCCATGTGTGCCGTACGTTTTGGGCCACACACGCCCTGAATTCGGGCCAAGTCAATAGCAGTAATATCGACGACTTTAGCTCCTATCTCCAGGTGTCGAGTGCCACGCTAAGGAGTAGCTATGCAGCTGCCTCTGCAAACACAGCTGCCCACACAATAGGCAACGTCGTGCTAGGTGGCGTAGTCGACTCGGCTTGTCATGTGGAAATGGCGGAGAATGGCGATGGGCCGCAAGGGCCGAAGCTGCGTAAGATCAGACTGGAGTTCCTTGCGGACATCCGCGCATCTCTGCTCAAGTACTCGGGCGATGCCAAACACATGTTCCAGGATCTAGTGAGGAAGCGTAAGGTTGGTCAGCTCGGAGAGAGTGAAAAATGGTTTCGGAAGGAGAATACTTTCTGGAAGGATGAACATGAAAGGGTGTTTCTGCGTTTCGTGGGAGGGGTGTGATGGTGCGAGGGCGCGGTGACGGGGTAAGGGGGGGTGGGTGGGCAAGCGTGAGCGTGGGGCTGTGGAAATCAAGTCTGCCAGCACCACCCTAAACAAAAGTGGTAGCTGTAGGGGAAACGAGCTAGTTAACATAACATCCCCCGTGTTATCTGGCGCACGATACATGGGGCGGGGAGAACAACAAAATGGCAATAAAGTGCCGCCAAATCATCGGATCGGCCCCTTTTTTTTTGCAACACTGCTGTACGGGCCACGTGGATGAGCCTGCAAAGTTTGGTGAGTATACTTGCGGGTGGCGAAGAGTTACGTACACAAACATGTAGATTTTGGGGTGCAGGACTGCTATAGGACTGCTGTAAAGCTTGTTTCGCGCTTTAAAAATCAGGATCTTTTCGGACTGGCTTCTCCTTGCAGTATGTTGTTCCGCCATGTCAGGCGCACAGCTGGATATTTTTTTCAAGGCCGACCGACTGTTTCGGGCTAAGATACGGGCCTGAACGTGGTACGAGAGACGGGGGATCCTCTAATTTCAAGTGATTTACTGCCGACAGACCCGGAGAACACCCCCATACCCACCATTCAATAATATTTGGATAGGTGGGTACGTGTGGAACGCAAAAATATATTTTTTTGGACGGGGGTGGGATAGGGCGTGGGCGGGCACGAAAAAATATACACCGCACCCCGTGTTATTCAACGTATGATACTTCTCGTGCGCACGCAGGAGGGGGGAACACTGCAAACACGAGGGGTGCGTCTAAAATATTTTTTTTTGCACGGGGAAGCATAGGGGCACCCACGGGGACGATCTACCACCGGTGCCGCAGCGCGCGGGCGTGTTTTGCGACCTACACGAGCGTGAACAAAATCTCAGAATGTGAGCCGCGCGGCAGCTGCTGCCACGAACACACGTCTGCAGCACACGCACACACGTCTAGACTCACAGACACCCGTAAACACACCTCCCTTTCGCACAAATCCTCTCGAGTACCCTGGTGACCAGTCCTGCTGCTCCGCCGCTCGCTGCCGTTGTCGTGTGAGTCAGGACGAGCGTGTGACACAGACGCAGGCACGCAACGGTCACGGGACTGTCAGGCGGCGGGACTGTCGGGACAAATATGGAGGCATGTTCGACCAGCGTACTTTTTCGGTACTTTTTGGGCATTTTCTCAACACCATGTGGTCCGATTGACCTCGGGGTTTTTGCGTTCGATTCGTACGACCACGGGGCTCGTTGAGGGCGCCGTTGGTGGCTTGTCGTGCTGTTCCGCGTGAAAAACAATCACCCGACCGGCGCTTTGGTGAAGTGGCAAGAAGGGAAAAATGGTCATAAAATGCTTCCAAATGATCGGATCGACCCCATTTGTATTAAGGGCGGTGATCAAACTGAGCCGTCGGGAAAAAGTAAAAGGGTGCACACGGAAATCGAACAAAAGAGAAGAGTGTGTGCGGAAATTACCGTGTTCGGTGTGGGCAGCGGATAAAGTAGTGGCAGCATCAGCCACGGCAGGAGCAGGGACGGATAGGGGGAGGGCCGTAGTGGCATCAGCCGCGGTTCGGGTCCTTCCCAAACCTTAGTTTTTATACCGGAGGAAGAGAGAGAGACAAAGAGAGGGAGGGTGAGAGACACAGATGGCAAGAGGGAGGAGAAGAGGACTCACAAACACTGAAAAACAAAAAGAGTGCACGATACTCGGGGCATTTGCTCCTATGGGGTCGCACTCGCCAAGCACACGAACAACAAGCGGACCAACTGCAAAATGGTTGTGTTGCATTGTTGTCCCTCACGTTCGAAAATGGCAAGATTAGTGTAGATTGAATTTCACGTCTAGCTGACATCTGGAAGAGGTGGAGAGACGAGATGAAAAACGGGCTTGGGTGGTTGTACTACGTAGAAACAGCGGAACATATTCACAACATCGCAGACAAGGTGCCCCCCCCCCTGCGTACCTTCAGCGGCGGCAGCAGCGGCGGCATGGGTCGCTCCAGATGATGACCCGCAGGCGTTAGGGGCCGTGATGGTGAAGTCGCCAGGGTCGGGGCCGGTGACGGCACGGTCCGTGGCGGCACCTCGAGAAGCAGCACCTTTGCGAAACAAGAAGAAAAGCAAGGATGGGACCGTATTGGGGCAGCTTACGTCGATTCCCGGGCTGGGTGATTTGTTCAAAAGGAAAGAGAAAGAGAAAAAGAAAGGCGGATCGATGTGCTGTCGCTGCTAAATGGGCATTTTTGTTGGGGGCAGGGATGTACGCGGGAATCGCGGGTCAATCATAAACAGGTGTAAAACGCCCTATCGTTCACCTTGATAGGCAGGTTCACTGAGGCTGTCTCCAGCAGAAGCGGCGATGTTGGTGGCCGGGGCGGCGGCACCAGGAGAAGTGGCGGCAATACCTTCGGGAGCAGCACGATGACAAACGCAGAAAAGAGATAATATGAAAAACGGGATTGGGTGAACGGCCATGTGAGTGTTATGAGGATGGTTGTACTGCGCAGAAGATGTCAGGTTGCTCTGTTCTCCAATGATTGTGAGGACCACGCACACGGTTACCTATCGAGTTTTTTGGAGGGGGCGGACAGCAGCGAACACAACTCTGCATATACCTGAAGCTGCAGCAGCAGGGGAGCCGGCACCACCGGCAAGACCAGAGCCACCGGATGAGTCAGCGGGATTGCCACCACCGCCAGCGTCACCCCTGCTGCGCTTCTTGTGCTTGCCTTCATTGGTTGGCAGGAGCAGAAAGAGGACCAGAGAAAAGACAAGAGGGGCATGCACTTTAACAATGGCGGCGTAGTTTCCTTTGTGTAAGGTGGTTCCCGCACCGGTGTCCCTCGTGTTGTCGAACTCTCCTTTTCCTTGGCATGAATGTTTTCGCAAACGTATTGTCGTGGACAGAATGTTCCTCTGGGCAGGCATCTAAAAAGGCACCAAGAAAAGGAAAAGAGAGGGGTGTTTTTTGCAACTTCCTCACCGCTGTGTGTGCTGCTTTGCTGGTTGCGAAGCCCCACCAGCTCCCGGCGAAGCTCCGTAATCTCACCGGAGAGCTTGGACAGGTATCCAAAGAGACGATCGGGGTCGTCGACACCGAGGTACGAAAGTCCCCTTTCCAAAGCTTCCTCCACCAATATTCTCCGCTGCTTCATTCCTCTGATCTCTGAGTCAAGTTCGGCGATCTTAGGGGCAAAGTCGAGGGCGGTAGGTATGGAAACGGAGGAGGCAGGTGCCGGGCCGGCAGAGGCGGGGATGGCAAGCGGACCTGGAAAAGCAGAGCGGGCGCGAATAAGGGGTGGGGGGGAGGGCGTATTTGCACAGGTTTCAAAAACACGCGTGCAACAAAACTGCTGTATCGAACACCACAGCCTACTCTGGTCCATTTCAATCAACAACATCACAGACCAAGGACTCTCGTGCGTACCTTTAGTGGAGGTGGGGGGCCTGGGGTTGTAACCAGCAGCAGCGGCGGGGGCGGGGGCCGGGGCAGCGGCAGCGGCAGCAGAAGGAGTGGAGGCATCAGCAGGAGAAGGGGCATGGGCGGAACCAGGAGCAGAACGCCGTGCAACACCAGCAGCATCCGACGCGGCAGGAGCAGGAGCAGGAGCGGGAGCAACACCTCCGGCAGTAGCAGGATAACAAACGCAAAAGAGAGACAAGATGAAAAACGGGGTTGAATGTAGTAGCCAAGTGAGTGTTATGAAGATCTTTGTACTACACAGAAGATGTCGGCAGCAGGAACAGCGGAATATATTTACAACATCACAGACCAGAGACTCTCCTCCGTACCTTCAGTGGAGGTGGGGGGCCCGGGGTTGGAAAGAGCAAAAACGGTGGGGGTGGGTGCCGGGGCGGCGGCAGCACATCCACCAACAGCCGCAGCAACGTCGGAACCGCTACCGATCCGCGCAGAGACTTTTTTCGTTATCTTGACGATAAGAGAATAAGGGTCGGCGGCGGCACCGGAACCTGGTTGAAACGCCGTAGGACCTTTGGGAGGAACCATCGATCGTGCGTGAATGGCCTGCTCATGGTAGAGCGATTGCAAAGGCGGCAACAGCGCTTCGCGCATGCTGATAGGTGCACATCGATAACAAGCCTCCGCATCCTCGATTTCTTTGTTTAACCGTTGCGCGACAAGACCGTGCTCGAGAGGAGAAAGGGCATCGGCGGAGGCAGAGGAAGGGGGTGCAGCTGCGGCAGCGGAACCAATAGCGGGAGAATCGGCAGCAGCGGCACTGACGGCTTCAGATGGAGACATTTTTGTCTCCTCCGCAAAACCCCACTTCCTCTTCCTGCCGCGGCGTCGAAGGCCTTGTGCACATGCACAGGAAGAAGAGAGAGAGAGAGAGAGAGAGAGAGAGAGAGAGAGAGAGAGAGAGAGAGAGAAAACGACCGGTGGAGATATTGGTACGGCATACCTTGATTGGGTTGCGGGCGGCGGGTGTGGCAGCCAATAGCTGCATGGGAAAGAATTTGGATATCAGAGGCATCTGTCCTGCACTTGGGCGGACCTGTGTACTTTGTAATTGCCAACATCTATTTCAACGACGACCAAT